TCTCTGCTCCTTGTCAACCTTCCTACTCTACTGCAGACCTAAAATGGGCTGCTTAAACCTCCACGTTAGCACTCCTTCCTCTGTCCTAGGTGCTAGATACGCACTACTTCCGCCTGTCTCCTGCGACTATAAAGACCGAGTGCCCTGGTCTTATTTCTCTATCGGTGCCAATAACTTATGTTTCCCGAAAAGAAATTTTCCAACTTACTTGAAGCCAATGTCTCTTACTACCCTATCTCTTATTTTACTCAGTATCTTATCTTCCTATAAGGTACATTCACTTCAACCACTGACAAAGCTTCAACTTGTTCCCCTCAACTACCTTGACCAGCCAATTTGGCCCTCTGGCTCGCGCCCACGTTCTTTCGAACCATCTTACACCCTTCCACGGGATTGGGTTCTGACACTTTCGTTTGTTCCAATCCGATTTAATATAAAGCCTTAATTTGTCGTGAATCTGAGATTTTATCTCCGCATCTAAGGTGCCTTTGTTTTGAAAACAGGTTTTGTTTTTGCAGTCTGAAATGACCAAGCAGATGATTGCTCTACATGACTGGGATACATACCCACACCCTTCCGTTGGGTGCATGAGAGGAGGAAGCAAGCCTTGGAGCACCCAAGCTTTATCCCACTTCCAATCTCATGTTGCAAAGTTCTTCCAATGAAGTGACCACCAGTCTCATATACGCTTAGAAGTAGGGCAGTCCCACCAGAGGTGGACTGTTGACTCGAAGGGCCAAATGCACCTACTGCATCCTAACCGAACACTCATGTCTTTTTCAGCTAATCAAACAGCAGAGGGTGTGACCAGTAGGGATAGAAGCCACAAAATTGTTGCATGCCTTTGAGAAGGGAGGATCTGTAGTTGCCTCCATAGGCGACCAATGTGTGTCAGAGCCTGTGTCCCTGCTCCTGCAATCAACGACTCTCATCTCTCTACCACTACCAAGGTCGGTCGACGTGCTGAGAACATCAGTTCCTTTGTGCTTTTCATCTGTGATAGAGGCAATGTAGACCCTTCCTTCCCCATTCCTCTCCAACCCCATGCTGCCAGATCAAGCTTTCGCTTGTCTAACGAAATGTCTGAGAGAGAAATGGTTTCATGTTTGTCTTCCTCATCCCAAATTTCCTGCACCTTGATTTGCTATAGGTGAGAGTCAAGTTGTGGCCTACTTGATACCTATCGTCGGTCCCTAGAAGTTTGTGTTTCTGCTTCTGACTCGGAGTCCGAGTCTTCGTCCGACGATTCGTAGCAAGAAAGGAGTCTCGATGAGGGAAGTTTGTCCCACCTTTGGAAGTTCCTTGATCGGTCTTTTGAATAGGAAATCAGTTTCCAGTACATAGGGTAACCATCCTGAGGTTTGGTGATGTACCGAGTGTCTGGGGGGTCCACTGCTCCCGAGGACAACCGATCCTTCCAAAAGTGTAGGATCGCTCTGATAAGTTCCTCCAACTTATTCTCCACATTTTGCAAATTTTCCAGTTTGAATGTCAGGTCCTCTTTAGATATCCAATCTGCTGCCATCGTGTCCCAAATGTCACCAACGCAAAGGATTCCTTTGCCGATCAATTTTTCACCAAACGCACCCGCTTTTTGTTAGCTCTGAAGATTTGGCCTTGATGGTCTACCACGTGCGGGTTGTCGAACAGCGGCTGACTAAGGACCTCCGTCTTAGTGACAGGCGTTAACCACTCGGTTGGTTTGACCTTTTTTCACGCCTTGATTATGTCAGCCCAAGATCTAGAGCGGACCTTCTTACTCAGGTAAGATTCTAGTTGGAGGCATACCCATACATCTTCCCCACGGAACAGTCTCATTCAGTGGCCAAAATCTGTTCTGCCATCTGTAGCCAGTGCTCCAAACCATCGTTGTCTACTGCCCTGATGATCCAGTTAGCTAGCAGGATGCATTTCCTTCGTTGTGGGTCACTGATGCCCAACCCTCCTTCCTCCCTTGGTTGAGATATTAACTTCAGGCTACCTTCGAGATAAAGCCTTGGTCTATGTCCCCTCTTGGTTTCCAGATGAATCTGGCCGCCATTCTTCTTGTTTCTGCTAACAAGGATGGGCTCAACAACCGAATGGAGCCCACGTAATTTAGCAGTGAGAGAAGAGAGGTGTTTATCACCATTATTCTTCCAAAGATTGATTGGTGAGGTGTTGTTGATCTTTGCCACCATTCGGTTTTGGAGGATTTCCTCCTGAACCTCAGGTTTCGAGCGCAACCATTACCCCTAGGAATCTCTCCGCTTTACCTGCGTTGATGCGCCGCATCCCCCAGTGCGCCTCTAGCTCAAGCTCGAGCGGCAGAAAGTACAGAGATTTACGCCAATTCACTGCGGCTTCTGAGAACAATGAGTATTCGTCCAACATGACATTTAGTGCTTCTAGGGCCTTAGCGGAGTTCTCACAGATAGCAAACAGGTCATCTGCGAGGGTCTTTGCCTTGCAAGTTGACTGTTTCAGAGCTAGGCCTATTATCTCTGGCCTGCTTCAGATATTACACATAATAACCTCGAGTTGAATGACGAAAAGCAGAGGGGTCAATGGGCAACCCTGCCGAAGGGATCTAGATAGAGGGAAGGGATCGGACAGGAGAACGTTAATCAGTATTGAGGTCGTGGAATGGGTATACAGAGTTACCACCTAGCTACAAAAATTATCTTTGAAACTCATTTTGCGCAGGGTTGTGAGCACAAGGCTCCAATTCACTCTGTGGTACGTCTTTTCGAGATCTAATAGCAAGACTGAAAACGGTATGTCCTCCTTTCAACGATCTCGAGAGTCTGAATGGCCGTTACTATATTCTTAAAGATCGAACGCCCCTGCGCGAAGGCTGCTTGGTCTTTGCCAACTAACCCGTGGAGATACCTCGACAATCTTTTGGCTAACGTTTTTGCTAAAATTTTGTAGGATACATTTAACCTGGAGATTGGACGCCAATTTCTGATGTCTTCCCTTGACCCTTTCTTGTACATCAGTGTGATCACTCCAAAGCACATATTATCAGAAAGTTTGCCTCCAATCAGGACATTATTGTAAATTTCCAACAGAGTTTCCTCTATGTCTGGCCAGGCTACTTAAGAATTTCGAGGGGAGGTCATCGGAGCCCGGGGCCTTACCCTTTGCCATTGCCTTAATTGTCGCTTTGACTCCTATGTCTGTAAGAGGTCGGTCCAAATCTAATCGAGCAATGTGTGGCAGGTTCACGTTTACCACTTCCCATAGTTCAGTCAAACTTTGTTGTCCCATAGCTAATTCATCGGAATTGCGCCTTGACGTGAGAATATCACAGAAATATAGTTCAACATAGTTACACATTTCCCGTGTTGAGATTGCTACGTACACGTTGTCATCGAATGGGTGGGATAATGTTTTCATTTCTTTATACGCGAAGCAGGGGAGGAGTCTCTGAAACGTGTGCTTAGTCATCCGATCTCTTGTCTCTATACCCTTAACTGTCAGTATCTCCTTCCATCGGTCGGATTTGGTTTCCTGAATCTCATCCCATACTTGCATCCTTTCTGCTCTAACCACTCCCCACGATGGATCAATCGACCTATGTGGCAGGTTCGCTATCCTGCTCTCCGCTTCTTCCAATCCCTTCTTAGCTCTGGCCTCCTCCTTATTGTCATGTAAGGCTAGGATCTTGGAGAATACGCAGAGCATATTCGAAATGAATCAAAGGCAAGCGTCCCACCAGATACGCAGATCGGGGAAGAGGTGTTTCCTCTGCCTCCATTTCTCCAGTTGGGTATGTACCCACTTCCTTATCTTTGGTTCCTTTCAAGTTAATGTTTCCGTATTTAATTTCAAAATCCCTTTCCCTCTGACAGGTCCCTCTCCCCACAGGAGCTGGAGAACCACTGGATTATGGTATGAGATCGGGTGGGGCTGTGTGGATACATCTACGGTGCTGCTCCAAATGGATTTACTTGTTAGTAAATTGTCTAACCTGCGTGGGCCTACCCTCCTGCCTGCTTGCAATTGGGAGGAAAACCACGTATAGCCTGGGTTTGTACTATTCGTTAGTCTGTATGGATCCAACAGATCCAGTCTATCACTATATCCAACAATGCATCCAAATCTTTTCCCGCTTTACCAGTCGCAAAGATAGGGTTGGAATCATCGATTGCCACATTCCAATTGTCGGAAATAATAATGTCCTCGACATTGGGGAGACTGTCCATTAATAATTCAAAGAATTATCTTCGTTCCATTCTATCTGCTGCCACTGCAAGAGCATAGATCATGGTCACTGACCACTCCTTACCTGCCGATCGAACCTTGATCCAGGCTCAGCGCCCTTGTTGGTCGAAGTCGTGGTCAAGTATCGTCTAGATTACAGTGTAATAAGATAGCCACACCCCCCCGTAATTCAACAGTCGGTGCCCATACCTGAGGTCCATCCCACCATGCCCCTAGCATCATAATCTTTTCCTGGTCCAACTATGTCTCTTGCATGCATAGGATCGAAATTCGATTGTCATGCATCCAGGTTTTGATCCTTGACCTTTTTCCTCATCCGCTACAGTCGCAGAGTCCTCGGACATTCCAGGTCGAGATTTTAACTTGGAGCATGGTCGTTCCCAAATCCCGACCGAGCTTGGATGCGGAGAAACGGAATAGAAGAGCCAAGTGATGCCTGCATTCAAGTTGCTTGGGGTCCCTTGTCCCAACGTTGTGTCAAAAATGATTGAAAAGAAGATGGGTGCAGGGATCTTGCGTTCGGGATCTTCTGGGATAGTGTCCCCAGACAGGTAGCATCGCAATCGCCTAGTAGGGTAATCTTTGACAGCTCGGGGTGGTTCGGGTAGGAGAGTCATTCCATAGGAAACAGGCTCAGGCCCTAACTGACTAATCGCGATAGTGCTTCCTGTGTAATCCTGGTATCTAGGGTGGGGGTAAACAATTTCGCTTTAACCCCAGGGCGTTCCACAAAAAATCGGGGGGTGGGGATATCAGGTACATTCCTAACCATTACATCACTACCATATAGTCTATGTGTAATGTTCAAAATTTCCAAGGGCATTGGTGGTGAGGCAATAGGTTGGGAGGGGAGGAGAGTTACCCCTCAGCTTGACTCGTCGACCATGCCAGTGCGAATGTACCTTCCACTGTAGTCATAAATAACAGTGGGAGCATGTGTTTCTCCCACTCCCGTTTGCCCCCTTTCGATGTGGCCTGCCTTCGATTCCGCTTCATGCTTCCTTGGGCCTGATTCGCCTGGTCCTTTCTTGCGACTGAAGCTGAGGAGTGTTCCCCTTCCACCTGTTCTTCGATACGATACTCTCGCATATCTTCGCCGAGCCTCCTTCTTTGTTTTGTTGGTGTTGTTTCCTGCCTGCATTCGTCCTTCGAGCCTGATAGGGATTGTGACTTCGATGTGCTTGCTCTCGTGTCTTCCTGATCCCTTGGTCTGGGCTGTGTTGCTTCCTTTGTAATTCCTCCTTGAGCTCTTGACTGAATTCCTTCTTCTGCCCGAGTTGGGTAGGCCAGGGAGAAATTTGGATTGTCCCTCGCCACCATCCCATCTCGAGGTGCAATGCCTTGTGGGCCTCTGCTACCACGGGGGCCCAACTTCCTTGAATAGCTTGGTTGTTTGGTAGGTCTCCCACTCTCATTTGAAATTCTTGATGATGACTTGGCAGTGTTCCTCGATCGTTGTTGGTTCTCTGAGTGCCTTCTGCTTCCGCTTCCATGGGAGTCGACCGGTCGGCCTCTTCCTACTGATGTGGTCGGGCTTTCGTTCCGACTCGGTGTTGGGGTTGCTTCGCGTCTGGAGTTTCTTCGATTGCTTGGGGAAGTCCTTGGAGATGGCCTCGAGGGATGAGCGCTGTTGAAAGATGGTGCTCCACTTGAGTTCGGGCTTGGAGTAGGGCTTGGATCCCGTCTGCGCCTTTGACGTGGACAGTCGTCCGCCAAATGATAGTATCGCCTACACCGACTACACCATGGAGTTTGAGCATTTGCCACTTTCAACTCGATTATCTTCCCCTGGAACGTCGTGAAGGATAAGGTCTCCTTCAGTCTTGGTAGGGTTTCGATTGCTATATCAATGCGTACATTGATAAGTTGCGGAGTCCTTGCATCTCGTTCCGATAGATAGACCTTGATGACCTTCCCGATTGACAGCTCTGCTGCTGATTCCAAGTAGCAATAGGCATCACTTGGAACGTCCAGAATTCTGATAAAAAAATAATTATTGGTCGCTTCTTTCCTTAAGTCCTGGATCTCCTTCTTGGTCAACCACGGTTTGAAGGCGATGTTATACCACCTCCGGGACCCACGAAGCGCCACTCTGATATCTCCTTCTTGGATCATCCATTCGAGCACCCTTGTATCCTTGGCGATGTATGAGAGGACGTTGCTTGATTCTATGCAGACGCGGCCACGTGTGATTGACGGGTCAAAGTGTTCTTCGCCCATCCAGATGTGTTCGTACGCTCGCGCCACTTCTTCCTTGACCTTCTTGGATAGGTTCTTAGAACCTTTGTGGAAGATTACCGTCACGGTTCGCTCCTTGAGCCATTTGACTTTGATCTCGTCGAGAGACGGATTCAAGGTGAAATGAGCTTTAGTTCCTTCCTCTGACAGTTCGCCAATGTCCCATCCAACCGGAAGGATGCCGATGTCGAAGCACTTCGCTAGCATGTCCCTCACCCGTTCTTCCTCGGCCCAATAGTTTGTCTGGGCCTGAGGGGGAGAGCGGTTTTGTGGGTTCGCCCCTTCGTCCTCTGCCATCTTCGCATGCGGAGAGCACGCTTCGCCATCCGCTCCTACCATCCCAACATCTCCCACGTGAGGATGTGGGATAGCAGAATCTTCGTCAACTTCCATGGTGGCAGTAGCTATAGCTATGGCACTATTCTCACCAAGGAGTGCCCCTATCAGCTTCGCCAGTCTGGATCTGGGCTCAAAGGCTACTTGCTGTTGTCCTGGTATGAACTTGGATCGCCGCGGTACTCTCGATGGTCTCGACGGGTCTTGATGTTCTCAATGGGTGGGTGGGGCTAGCCTACCGAAGCTACAAGGTCAGACATGGCTGACTCCTTTGTGGTTCGTGTGAACCTTCGCGCTAACCACGGTGGCTAGGCGACGGCGGCTAGGCCGGTCGGTGCGAACGGCGGCCGTGAGACCGAGCGCTGCATGCGGCGCGAACCAGTGGCCCCCTTACCATTATGGAGAAATTTCCGTGGCTGGAACTCAAGGCACTCTAAATGCAGGGTGAGTCTCAAAAAAAAAAAAAAATGCAGGGTGAGGTTGATGTTCTGTCCAACTTTCACAGTTGATCAGGGGTCTGTTTGCGTGCATATGCATGTCTACTGCACGCATACCAATGCATGTAGAAACACAGAGATAGAAAGATAGATACACACACACACACACACACACACACAC